AGGCTCAGGTTGTACCGTTAGTAAACAAACAAAATGTCTCATTACTTAAGCTTATCTTATGTTTCTTTTAATCTTGAGCTTTGTTTATTATTTTAAAACAACAAAAAGATAATGTTATTATCATCAAACACAAATGAAATTTCTTCACAGGAAATAGGTTTGTTATTTTATTTTAAATGTTTATTATTTACTATTTTATTACTTGTATATCAAAATAAAATAAATAAAATATATTGTCAAAAAATTACCTTAACTGAAGCTTATTTTTATCTACAAAATTTCGTAAACTTATGTAGTGTAGTTGACTTAATGTATTTTTGTGTTTTTAGATCCAGCATTGTTTTGAAAGAAGATGGTATAGACAATCCAACTGTCAAAGTCGATTTAGAAAAATTACAAAAGTATACAAATAATCATTTAAAAAGGTGGCTTCTTTACCGTAGCGATTCTCTAAAAGGTGTAGTAACGTTGCGAGACTCTCAAGTTTAAATTTTACAATGTTTTCATAACGGAACGGATTCAATTATTTGTGATCCAACTCTTGATAAAAAATGGTTATCAAAAAAGACATGTTTGATGGGTAAACATCTAAAAATACAAAATATAAAAAGATTTCCTATATTGCCTGAAAATTTAAAATGTGAGCTTTTAAAATTGAATTCCAAAAATGGATGGAGCAAGTGTCTAGAGGGACTTCCTGCGTTTTCAGCTGAGAAAATTGATGCATATGCTTTAAATGCAAATAATAATTTTTTTCCTAAATCTACTAAAGTTAAAAAACATTTGTCTAGTGGAGAAATGTTTCTTGAAGAACAATACATTGATCTATCTTCTATTCACTCAAAACAAAGTATTGAACTATTTTGTGTAAAAGGAGTATGTGCAGCTCGCATGAAAAAAGTTGACAGATGGATTTTTATTGCTATTAAAAAATTAGATGGATCAGTTACATATGTATTTTGTAAATGCCCAGCAGGAAAAACTTGAACTTGTTCACATGCATTTGCAATGAGGAAACTTGTTGCAAAATGGGTAGTTGAAAAACTGAAAACTGTTCCAAACATTCAAGCATGTACATCAAGAACTTGTGCTTGGTCAATACCACAAAGTCGTAAAAGATTTGATAAAACACCAATAATTGACTTGAAAATTTTATCACCACAAATAAAAAAAAAGCCTTTGTCGAAAAGAAAAGTATCTTCATTTGACACAATCAAATCATCATTGTACGATACTAGAACTGATTTAAACAGAAAAAGCGATAATGAAAATAAAATTTTCATTATCGTAGTAGTATCGAAGTAGTAGGATATAGTGAAAAAATTGATAATGCAGAAAGTGAGGTTCCTCAATCTGTCAAGACTCGAAATTTTATTCATAAATGGGCTGTTGAAAATAATATAAAATCTAAACCGTTAAACGAGCTTTTGACTCATTTGAACTCTTTCATGAAAGACATTCCTAAAAGTGGGACATCTTTAAAAAATACTTTAAGAAGTGTGGATGTTGAAAACGTTGCTGGAGGTGATTTTGTTTATATTTCTTTAAAAATTGCACTCAACAATTATGTAAAATGCTTTAGAAAGCCAGCAGAGTTTGATCTTATTATAAATGTTGATGGCACTCAGATATACAATAGTAAAAAAAAACAAATGTGGCCTATATTGTGTACTATAAACCAACGAGGTCCATATGCAATTGCTTTATGGTATGGTACAGGAAAACCTACAGTTCTCGGAGAATACCTCAAAAAATTTGTTGCAGAGTTAAAATTCTATTTTATAAATGGGTATGAAGGCCTAAAAGTGATAATTAAGGCATTTGTATGTGACGCACCAGTCAGAGCATTTTTAAAATGTATAAAAAGTCATAGTGGATATGACAGTTGTGAAAGATGTGAAGAACATGGTGAGTATCATAAAAGTATAAGATTGTTAGGTACCAAGTCTTTAATACGAGATGATAAAAAGTTTAAGGAAAAATTTTATTCAGAGCACCAGATTGGTAAATCACCATTATCCAAACTTGAAATTCCGATGGTGACTGGATTTGTACTTGACTACATGCATTTAGTTTGTCTAGGGGTTACAAAAAAACTTATGAAGAAATATATTAACAATATAGGTTCCTCTGTAAACAGCAAAATTTCTTCAGAGTTGCTCGAAATAAGAAAATGCACACCAACAGACTTTCAAGGTTGGCCCAGAAGTTTGGATGAATTTTCTGATTTTAAAGCAACTGAATTTCGCTTTTTTTTATTATATGCAGGAGTCGTAGTTATGAAAGGCAAAATATCGCATGATGAATATAAACTTTTATTGGTTTTATCAGTTGCTATGCACATTCTTTTGTCTGAGACAATGGTTAAAGATAACTCAATGGTTTGTTACTGTAAGAATTTGTTAGAATGGTTTACAACAGAATCAATTGTTTTTTATGGACCATTGTTTGCATCTTATAACGTGCACAGTATTATTCAGTTTGCTGATGATGTTATATATCACAAAGTATTATTAAATAAAATATCAGCATTTCCTTTTGAAAATTACCTTGCAAAAATTAAAAGAATGATTCATAGTGGTACATATACAGTTGCTCAAGTTGTTAAAAGGCTTGATGAACATAGTAAAGTTGTACATCTATTACCAGCAAAAAGATCAGTGATCTTTAATACAAATTTTAGAAATAGAGTTTATTATATCAGCAAAATAGGTTTTGTAATTGTTGAGAAAGTTGTAAAAAACAAATATTTTTGTAAATTGTTTAAATTTTCGAAACTAACAAATTTTTTTGAAAGTCCTTTACCAAGTTCAGTCATCCATATTTACCATTTAACAACTTTGTCATATTGCAAGAAAATTGAATTGGAACAGAATGCATTGCAACATAAAGCCATTATGACGCCTTATGATAAAGGAGGCTATGTACTTATTCCTCTTCTTCATTGTGACCTTAATGACAATTTTACAAATCTCCAATTTTGATTATTACTTTTACACATTTGGTCTTAATTATCTTTAAAGTAAATTTTTTTTTTGTTCAACATCTTTGTTTCCAACAAGGCTGCAAGCAACCACTGTCCACTGTTAGAGTATTATTAGCAGTATTATAAAACAATCACTATTAACATTGGAAGTTACTGGATCAGAGAAAAGATGAGGTTTATAGAGCAAAATAACGACTTACAGACAACTTAGAAAATTGCAAATTATATAAATCAGTAAAGCAAGATGAAGGTACCAAATTCCAAAGAACAGATGTTTGAGAAAAAAAAAACTAGGCGAAAAAGAGTTTTTGGAGCACTTAGGAACAGTCACAGAGAAAGGATGAGACCTAATTGAGTGACGAGTAACACGAGAATGAATTTTAGTAGATGGCACAAGAGACACTAGCTCTTTAGAGCAGTACTCGTTATAGTATTTGTAGAAAAGAGAAAGAAAAGCAACATTACGACAATTCGATAAAACTATGTTTGCAATGCATTTTTGCACCTTGTCTATAAAAAAAGGGCATCATTGGAAAATCCGCCCAAGGTATGGCAATAGTATTCCATACAAGGATTGATTTGAGATTTATAAAGATGAAGATTAGAATCTGGAGTAAGAAAGTTTTGAGCATGATAAAGAGACGCAACCTGAGCATATGTTAATTTTGCAGGTGGATTTAATATATGGTTTCTAAATTAATTTTATAATGATTTTACTCTTAAATTTTTATACAAAGTAGCATAACAAAATAAATGAAATTTTTTATTTTTATGATAACTGTTGTTTAAAATGACTTTCTTATTTTATATATATATAATATATATATATATATATATATATATATATATATATATATATATATATATATATGTATATATATATATATATATATATATATATATATATATATATGTATACATATATATATATATATATATATATATATATATATATATATATATATATATATATATATATATGTATACATATATATATATATATACATATATATATATATATATATATATATATATATATATATATATATATATATATATATATATATATATGTATGTATATATATATGCTGTGTATACTCAATGCATATGTTAAGCCACAATTTCCTAATAACATTTTTGCACTCTTAAGGTAAAAATATGCGCTTTAAATTTTCAGAAAAAGGAAAAAAAACAAAGAATAGTGAAAAAAAAGATAGCTGCCCCTACCAAACCCTCAGTCGATGTATTAGCACTCCAATTCAGGTCAGGCTGTTTGACAGTAAATGGATATACTAAAGCACACGCTACTTCTATATATAAAATTATAAACTCTATATATATATATATATATATATATATATATATATATATATATATATATATATATATATATGTATATATATTTATTTATATATATATATATATAAATACATATCTATATATATATATATATATATATATTATATATATATATATATATATACATATATATATATATATATATATATATATATATATATATATATATATATATATATGTATATATATATATATATATATATATATATATATATATATATATATATATATATATATATATATATAAAATATATATATAATATATATATATATATATATATATATATATATATATATATATATATATATATATATATATATATATATATATATATAAAATATATATATATATATATATATATATATATATATATATATATATATATATATATATATATATATATATATAGTTTATAACTTACTTATCGCCTTATAATTTTACTTTTACTTTTGTTTTACTTTTCTTATGATGAAAATGTTTAATTATATTATTCACTTTATTTTTTTTATCAATACCTGTTTAATACTGTTCCCAAATATGTATATATAAATATTTGTTAATAATAATAAAAATATTGGTTTATTTTGATTATTGTAATTACTTTTTTGTTATTGTTCTAGCTGTTAATTATTTATTACTCATAATTTCAGCTTTTATTTCTAAATTTAAAAAAAATGGATAATTTTGTTAAAGTGAAATGGCTTGAACCTCCACATTCCATTGAATATGGAACAATTCCTTCAAATTGGATTGAAGAAAAAAATGATAGCTTTTGGGTGTGCTGGCCTCCAGTTCCTAATGTGAAGCCATTAATTTTAAAAAGGCAACTACCAAAAAAAGACTGGTTCAGGTTTATTTTGTTAAAGAAATATGGAAGTGGAAGTAAGTTTAAGTCATGTTAAACTTTTATGAAACAACTATCTATATTTTATAGTATTTGCATTTTCATGTTTTATTTTTTTTTTATTTTAGGCAGTTTTTCTGAATGTGAGCTTGTCCCCTCAGCCATTGATACGAACGAAGATACAGATGATGATAATCTTTCCAAGCGAAAATGTCGAACAGCTTTACCATATTTTATGAGTGATTCTGATGATTTGGGTTGTTTAAGTTACTTTACTTTATTTTATTTGGTATTATACTAAAAGATTTTTTTGACGTATCAGCAAAATTTGTAAAACAGGTATATTGTTTATTATAGATAATGATGTTGCTTCCAATCAACCAAAAAGGCCTAAATTGGTTTGCAGCAGTGATGAAGAGCAAGAGACCGTAGTCGACAAGTTTCCGTTACTTCCACCATCACTACAAAAATGTTCTTTACTTTATCTTGATTTAAAAATTTATACTTATAAACTTTTTTTTTTGTTGTGTAGTCAATACTGTTATATACATTTTTCTTCTTTGAGACAAATTTTTTAAACTTTGGTATAGCAAATAATACTCTTTAAAACACTGAACTTAAATTTAGTAAGATCAATGAGTATTATTTGTTATGCTAACAAAGATTTTTGCAGGACTTTACAATATACATCTAAAGTATATCAGATATGTTTTAATTAGTTTATTTTTGCAGATATTTTAAAGTGTAGTTTTCTATCATTAAATTTAAGTTTATTTCTTTTTGAAGTGCCTTCAAATCTGAATTTGATTGATAAAAAGAAGCGGAGAATCGATATGGAGATTGATCCAGTATCGCAAACTAAAGTACCATCGTCTCAATCTTATCTCCTGCAGCATAACACAAGCAATAGTACAGTTTTATTCTTTATTTATATTGGATATTAATTTCTCATATAATTTGTGTATATAAATAAACAAAGATTTTCATTGCAGGTTGCAGCAGTAAATCTTTGGATGACATAGATAGTACACCCACTGTATCACAAGATGGTATAGTTAAACTTTAAATTTAAATTTTTAAGCTTTCATACAAAACAATTAATTAAACCAATAACAATAATAATATTTTTCTTGGTACAAACATTTTGACACTGGTTTTTTCATAATGCTCTGGGACTTTTTTATTTTATATATAATATAATATCTGATATTATATTATATATAAAATAAAAAAGTCCCAACCAGAGCATTATGAAAAATGTTTGTACCAAAAAAATTCCTAATTAAATACCAAGAAAGCTTGTTATTAGTTTAGTTGATAATTAATATAAATTTATTATTTTAATAAATAAATCTAACTTACATGCTTACTAATATTAATTTATATATATATATATACATACATTAAAGTTTTTTTTTTTTAGTTTTCCAGAAAAATATGATGAAAGTTTTAAAAAATATAAAAAAAGATTTATATGATATTAAGGAGACCCAAAAAGATCTTTTAGAAAAGTTTTCAGTTCTGCAGCATACAAGGATAGATAATGATAATACGTTTGTCTGAATTACAATTGACAATGTTGAGGATTTGGGGAAGTTAGAAAGTAAATTAGAAGACAAAAATATATATTTGCAGCTGGTATGTTCACTCGTATATTTTATCAAAATTTGTTATTATTTATAACACATAATTTATAACACTGTATTAGTCAGTCAGTTAAAAAACTAGTTCAAGCTAAAGATATTTTTTTAAATTTCAAATACATATAATGTTAATTAATAATATCATATATATAATATATATATATATATATATATATATATATATATATATATATATATATATATATATATATATATATATATATATATATAATATCATATAATATCATAAATAATAATATCATGTTAATTAGTAATATCATATTGTATTGCTTTTTGTTTGTTACAGGTAGGTAAAGTTCACTGTTTTTTTTGCAGTAGTATTTAACCAAATAGTGAAAAGTAAACAGCGATAGATGCAAGAATTCACAGTAGAGGTGTGGAGTGAGTTTAAACTTATTCTAAAAATTCATGAAAATCCAATAAAAAATATTGTTGTAAATGTCTTTTACATCTCAAGACACCTTTGTTTTGTTTCCAAAGCAATTTGATAGAGTATTTTCAAGATTTTTGCTTGTTATTCTGATGCTTTAAATATTCTGATAGAGGGGAATGCATCCCCCTAGATTTTTTACTGGTTACTTAATATATCATGTTACTATATATAATAAATTATTATTACAGGTGGGAGTTTTAGCTCGTGCTTGTGGCATCCACCCTAAAAAAAGTATCTATGAAGCAATGAATAAACTTTTAACTAAAGATGTTGCTTCGAAATATAATATAACGGGCACTGCCCAGAAGAGTAATTTTTGCACGGAATTCAAAAATATTTATTCAGCCATTATAGGTATATATACAAAGGAACAAGTTTACACATCATATTTTAATAAATGTGACTAAGTCATGTTTCAAATATACAAAGGTATTTCAATTTCATGGTTTAAAGTTCTGTATCTTTTTTTATTTAGAGGCAGTTAGTAGTCAGCATGCTGACACCAAAGATATTCAACTCCGCAGTTTTATTGGAGAGTACTTGCGACAGGCTGGTGTCTTGAATATCCGGAACGAGAAGAAAAATATTGAAAAATTTTTCTTATACTGATAAAAATTTTTTCAATTGCTGTTTTGTAACTTTATAAATAAACAAAATCTTCTAACTTTTGTTGTTTACATTATTTCAGTTTGAAAAACTGATTTATGTCTTCTATTATTTTTGTTAATTTGTTTATGAAGTATCATCGTACTCTAATGAAAAAATATTGTTAAAATATTTCTTTCTAAATTTTTTCAAAGTTCAATATTTTTTTTAAATGCAGTCAATAGCATGAAAATGTAAAAGATTATGAAAACTGAATAATCAACATAATATTTCTTTTGTATATATGTTTGTATTATTTTAGAAATAGAATATCAGAAGTCTAACTGTAGTTTTATTAAAAACGAATTAATGATTATTTTTAAATATATTAATTATCGCAATCCCTGCAAACACTGAAATTTGGCGTTCAAATAATTATTTATCAATATTACTTAAATATATCATAAATGATATATAATAAGTACTTTATCACTATTAACAATTAGTAATCGCAAATAAATAACGAGTGCATCGGCGTTAAATCAACGGTGATCATTTTTATGTACTTACTATTAATAAACCACCACTCAATCACAGTAATACAAAGTTTACAAAATCACCATTGAATAAGTACTTAATCACCGCTTGCGATTAGTATTGGATCACTACTAAATCAATAGTGTATTGCTGTTAAATCAGCGGTGATAGTCACTACTTAATCACTAGTAACAAATCACCACTCAATCACTAGCGATAAAAAGTTTACAAAATCATCGTTTAGTAAGTACTTAATCACCACTTACGATAAGTATTGAATCACTACTAAATCACTAGTGATGCGCGCATAGGGTAATAACACATCGAAGGGTTTGGGTTGGAGCAGGGATCAATTTTTTTTCATTATTATTTATTTTCCCTCTTCTTTTTCTAATAAATGTCACTTAAATAAAGGTAACATATTTTATTACTTTTTGCTTATCTTTATATACATGTGTGTGTGTGTATATATATATATATATATATATATATATATATATATATATATATATATATATATATATATATATATATATAAAAGAAATCTATTTGTAGTTCTTTATGATATATATAAATGTTTAATTCAATGCTAAATTTTTGTTGTTCTCTCAACGCATTTTTATTCATTAATTTCTATCTGCGTTTTTTATAATAGACTCATGAAAGTTAGTTAAAATTCCACAAACTGTAACTATTTGATTGAGAGAACCAATCATGTTTAGAGGAATAAGTCTATCAAATATATAAAAACATTTTAATCTTTTAATCATTCTCTCAACATGAATGCGGTCACTTGAAATTTGCTGACTTTGTATCACCTCTGTTTCAGTGAATTGTTCGCGACTTCGAAGAAATGATGGAATAATTAATTTAACTCCGAGTGGACTTAAATAATCTTGTATAGTAAAACCTCTATCTGCCATAAGTTCTTCACCGTGATTCCATAAAGTTGGATTTAAAAGCCCACTTTTAATCGTTATTTCTTTATCTGATATACTCCCAGGGTAAGCAGCAGATATAAAAGTAAAACCACCTCCTGGGGCAATGCCAACTAAAATCTTTACAGTTGTGTGACTTCTATAGTCAGAATAGAGCAATTTATGTACAGTCAATGACTGAGGTACAGCTACCTTTATTTCAAGACAATCAATGATGCATTTAACATTGGGAAATTTGTCCTTTATGGACTGAGGCATATTTTGTTTTACTTGAGTTAATGTAGGCCATATGCTAAGACTACCCAGCCTTATGTACATAAAGTTCAACCATGTTATAACAGTGTTACTTACAGTTCCTTCACATTCTGAAAAAAGAAATGTTAAATGTCTTATGTCATAATTTCTTCTTAATCGCACTAAAGTTAATAAATATGCTTCTGATGGTAACAGAATTCGATTCCCCCCCCCCTATTTTCATTTTCTTGTGAGTGCTTACTGTTGTATAAGATAAGGTTTTCTCCATTTTCTCCGGGGTCAAGATATATAAAAACTGCATCAAATGTTTTTCGATTCGGAAATCCTGTGCAATGTTTTAATTCTTTTTCACATGATAGAACACGCTCAACAAATTTATTTCCTTCATTAGATATTGTTTCTTTTATTTTCATTTTGAAACTGTTTCATTTTTAATTTGCTCGAAAAGAGTGATTCTCTATTTTAGCTACTACTTGTTTTGTTAAGAACATCATTGTCAGGCAAAACTATACTTTTAGGAGGAGATTGTCTATAGCCAGGTGGTTTTCTTTCTTTTTCACTAGTTTAGAAATTATTCCAGATATGAAGTGATGGTTTAGCGCCTTTCCTTAAAGAACATATCGTTCCTCCAGCAGCTCTTAAAATGTCCTGCGATTTAAAATGATAGTAGCATAAATATGATGAGTTAGTAACATTAAAACCATCTAAACCATTTTTACGTTTTATCAAGTTGCACTAAAGAGAAACTTCATTTTTATCTTTTAGAAAATGAAAGAATTTAATGCCAGAAGCCTTTTGCTTTCCAAATTCAATAATATAGCTTTGATTGAAGCAATTATAAGCAGCACATTGTTTGCCAGATGATTTTATTATAGGTTTTTTATTAGAAGCCATTTGGTTTGTTTACAAACGGTACAACCTAAACCGCGTTTTGGAATTATGCGGAGGTTTATTTATGAAAAGGTCTATCTGATTCAGAATCTGTCATTTCTAGCTATAGTGAGGTAATTAAATAATAAATTAAAATTTGGTTTACTATTTTATAGTTTTTTAAATTTACTTTTTTTTTTTTTAACATATCACTTTTTAAGATAAAATTTTTTTGTTAATTAACTTCATAACTTTTTTTTTAGATATGGGAGCCTGAAAGAAATCCATCGGAAATTTACAATCTTTGGAAGTTTCCAAAGTTTGCTATTGAATTGATCAGGAACGATATAGGAAGTTCGATTGGAGCTGCATTAGGAAATGCTCTTATGCTCGATCTATCAGGACTGTTTAATCATCCAGCAATAATATTAACTTTAGTTTTAGACAAGTCCAAAATAGACAGACAAAAAAAAGTCAGTTAAAGTATTGTCAGACTTAAAATCTGTTGAAAATAACAGAGAGTTTATTTGTCTTTGTGTTGACAGTAAAATTGATAATGAAACTTTAGTTATAAGAGAAATAAAAAAAGAAGATGGCGAGGCTGTGTTAAAGAGAAAAGACATCACATGACTGTGACTAAAGAACTTCTCCCGAACCTTTACAGTGGGGAGTATCTTACTAACAAAGTTTTACCTCTTGCTGGAGCATCAGGAAAAAAGCAAGCTCAGTGTCAATATGAAGTTCTTGAAGAGTATGATTCTTTAAACACTCTAAAAGCAGTTTTGGTAGACAATACTTCAACAAACACAGGTCATAAACCAGGAATGGTTGTAGAGTTAGAGAAAAAACTTGGAGGAAAACTTCAGACTATAGGCTGCAATCTTCATCAGAATGAGCTTCCTTTTAGATTTTTGTTTAAAAAAATTGATGGAGCAACAAATTTACTAAACCATTTTGCTGGACCAATAAGTAAAATGGCAAATATCAATAATAAGCTTAATTTAGTTGTTAATTTTGGTGTTATTAAGTCTCCAATTATTATTTTAGAAAAAGAAATTTTAGACGATTTAAGTAGTGACCAAAGGCTTTTATAAGAATATTGCATTGGAATTGCCACTGGAAATATGAGTGTTAAATATTCAAGTTGGAAAATTAGTCCCTTTAATCATTCTCGTTGTTTAACATTAGCAATCCGTTTGATGTCTTTATATGTCCGAGTAGAAGTTCCTGATTCTGAACTAAATATTTTGGTAACTTATGTTGTCCAAGTTTATGTTCCTACATGGTTCCTCCATGAAAAGAGCAATAAGTTACACGAAGCTCCATCAATTATACATTTTAAGATTAACCAAATCAAGCTCCAAGGAAGAGAGGTGCAAGATATTTGCTTAGCAAACTTAAGATTCAATTCCTTTACTCCCTGCTTACTTCTTGAGAATATTTTGTACTCAATGTTAAAGTTAGAAGAAGTATAATAAGATCAAAAGCAATGCAGAGATTACTTGATATTAGAAATCGTAAAAATAATGGCCAAGCTATAAGCAGAATCAATAAAATTCCAGAAGTTAACATTGATGCTCATATATGGTATGAGCTCATAAATATTTTTGATGAAGACATAGATGAACCAGATGAAGACATAGATGAACATAGATGAACTTACTTCTTGAGAATATTTTGTACTCAATGTTAAAGTTAGAAGAAGTATAATAAGATCAAAAGCAATGCAGAGATTACTTGATATTAGAAATCGTAAAAATAATGGCCAAGCTATAAGCAGAATCAATAAAATTCCAGAAGTTAACATTGATGCTCATATATGGTATGAGCTCATAAATATTTTTGATGAAGACATAGATGAACCAGCAACAACTCAAGATTTTACTTATGAAGAGATTGCAGAAAAGTTGTTGTCTCGAGAAAAAATTGACCTCCCAGATCTTCCTTCACATTCACAGAGTGTTGAGAGATCTGTACAACTTGTTTCCATGGCTTCTCATACTGTTTTTGGAAAGGAAGCACGTCATAAGCATATTTTAGCAAAAATTCTAAGCAGAAAGCATAGAAAGAGTTTTATGTTTAAATGTTATTATGGTGAAGACATATGATGATATTTTTTGATAATTTAAAAACTAATTTATTGCTACTTGTGTATGTAAAAACAAAATTTAACAAAAATGTATAATAATTTTCAAGTTAGTCATTTCCTCGCGTGGTTGAACATTGTTAAAATAATTTCTAAATAAATAAAAAGATCTTTTTAAAAGCATTTTTTTTTTATGAAATCTTTTATATAATTTCATCTTTTGAAAGTTATTTCAAAGGTTTTCAATAATCATTTTTAAAATTTAACTTATTGGATAAATTTAACTTATCTGAAATAATTAGGATAGTTTTCTATTTTACAAATATTCAATTATATAACCAAGGCGTCGGCAACTTATTTTATGTAGTAAGGTTTTTCCTAAAATAATTAAAATATATCTTCCTTAAATAATTTTAAAAAAAGAGCAGCAGGATTACAGTTTAAGTATGCTTGAAATATAGTTTTAAATCAAAATATTATGTAATTTGGACAGACTGGAGAGCCACGGTATATAAATAACTTGTTGCTGATCCCTGATATAACAAATTTTCTACATTTGAAATTAGCGTTTTTTTATAAAATCCGGACCAGAATTTACAAAAGCAATTTGTTAATGTATTAATATCTAACATAGACAAAAAAATTTTTTTTTGATTTAGAGTACTTTATTTTGTTTTTCTTTAATTTTAGGTAACTTTCAGTCTTTTTGCTTTTTATTATTTTTTTTATATGTAAACTAGTTGGGTCCTGAATTTTTAATACAACCCTGGAGTAATGTTACGCAGAAAGCCTTAGGACCTCACTTCAAAGCTAAAATCGCTCATGAAGAAACTGATGAACAAAATGAACAAACACTTAAATCCAAAAAAAGTTGTAATTCGACCTGCCCAAGTGCACAGTGAGCCAGGTGGTGGAAAAAAGTATAAAAAAAAATTCTCAAAAATGACATTGTTATATACCTTTTTTTTTTAAATAAAAAAATCAAAATACATCATATAGTACAAATTACTATGATTGATCGAAAAGTTTATACTGCTCTTTCAGAAGTCACAAGTTCAGGTCAATGCTGTACTAAATGTGGGCAAGTCCTAAAGCAATGAATGATATTAAAAAAATGGTTTCGAAAAAGGGTATGGCAGGTAGTTATTCATTTGGTTTATCATCCTTACATGGTTGGATACGATTTTTTGAATGTTTGTTACATATTGGATATAAAATAACTTTGAAAAAGTGGCAGGCAAGAACAGCAGAAGATAAATCTAAAATAAAGATGAAATGGGCTTGATAGTTGATGTTCCGAAATCTGGTGGTAGTGGAACATTAAATTATGGAAATACGGCTCAAAGAGCATTTCAAAATGCGGAAAAGTTTGTAGAAACTTTAAATATTGATGTTGAACTGATTCTAAATTTGCATATTCGTTTGGCAACAATTTCATGTGGTTTAGATATTGACACTGATAAATTTGAGGCTTTCTGATTAAAAACAGCTCGACTATATGTTCATCATTATCTTTGGTACTATATGCCACAATCTCTCCAAAAAATTTTAATCCATGGCTGTGAAATTATTAAAAGTTTAGCATTACCCATTGGTATGTATTCTAAAGAAGCTCAAGAAGCACGCAATTAAGACTTTCAAAACTATCGCGAACATTTTGCAAGAAAATTATCTCGTGTGAAAACTAATCAAGATTTGTTAAATCAACTTCTGTGTACATCTGATCCATTTATTGCATCTCTGAGAAAAACAGCAGGAATTCACACCAAAACGAAAAACTTACAAGCTGGAGTTATTGACTTATTGAGATCATCCACAGATGATATTAGTTTATAAATGTATCTTTTGTATCTTTAATAATTTGGAAATGTCTGTACCTATATGTAAGTGTGACTGTAAATTAAAACATTTAGTTATGCTAAATCCTATTAGAATCATTAAATTAATTTGCATACCAATTTTAGAAACATTTGGCTAAAAATAACCCTTAGGAACTAAGCATAAATGAATCAGTGTTTTTTAAAAGGGCTGATTTGACATTTTTTTAGAAATTCACTTTTTATGTGTTTTGTGTTCTTCTATGATAGCTTCATCAGTTTATGTTAAAAATATGTTTAAATTTTATCATCTTACTCAAATAAAGCCACCTAAAAATTTTAGATTTTTCTTAAAAAGGCGAATTTGCTTCAAATACGCCCTTTTTAAAAATATCGCACTCAGCTGATTCGTATATTTAGGCGCAATACGCAGAAAATGTAAATAGTTTTTTGTATGTTGTTGTTGCTATTATAGGATCTTTAATGGACCTTGTTATTCCAAGTCCTAGAAAAAGGAAAGAAAGTTATCCTTGTGAGTACAAACATAACAAAATAAAACAAGCACGTTTAATGGGACAGTCATACATAAATCATAAGAAAAATGAAGTTCCACCAAAGTACCCTATGTTTACTTGCAGGT